CCCCCCCCCCCCTTTTTTTTTTATATCCCCTCTCTTCCTCCTCCTCGTGTTTCCTCCCCTTTGCTTCGCGCAGAGCGCAGCCCCGCTCCGCAGCCCCGCACCCCGTCCCGCTTTGTCTGCCCGCTCCTCGGCTCCTGTTTGAACCACGAACACCGCACGGAGACGTTAACCCAAACAAACGATCCTTCCAAAACACAAAGACAACTCCGTTAATTAATTACCGGTGTCTTTATGACAAACCTCATCTCTCAGCCATTCAGTCCTTGGCAGCAAATTCTTGAAAATCTCTAATTTTCACTGTTGGCATCCATTCAGCTCAGCACGGCCTCTTTTCCGATCAGCTCTGAGTTGTTTTGGTTTTTTTTCAGAGATCCTCTCCCAAGAGTTTGCCAATTCATTCCCATCGTAGAGAGGCAGAGCTGGGAGCAGAGCCTGGGCTGGAATCAGCGATTCACCTGGACGTCCAAATGCAAAGCTGACCTCCAAGCCAAGCAGGGATGGGAAGAGAGAAACATCACCAGTGTGAGCCCTGAGGATGGAGAGGAGGATCCAGGACTTGTGTGGCACCCAGATCCCTGCAGGGGAACAGGGATGGAGCAGCACCTGTGTGCCCCAGCCCTGCAATCAGAGCTGTGCTGAGCCCCAGCTGCACTCAGCAGCACTGATTTCAGGCAGCAGGAGGTGTGGAGAGGTTCTATGTGTGCTGGGCTGCCCGGTCAGCTCAGGTCTGTGGGTAGAAAACTACAGAGGGGTTTGCTCTAACCAGGGCTGCTGGCAAAGGCCTGGCTTTTTGCTATGTGGTTATGAGCAGAGTTGGGCCCCGGGCACTTGGAACAGTCACAGCAGCCTGTGGGGGGTGGTGCCGAGGGAAGTTTGCCTCTCATCTACTGGGAAAACAGCGGAGAGCAGAGATAGCAGAAAACTAACAAAACAGCAGCAATAAAAAGAATAGCAAACAAAGCGTGGATCTGTGAGGCACCCAAAGGTGGACATCTCCCTCTGCTGGGGGTTGGGTGCAGAGCTGCGCTGAGCGATGCTACGAGTGAGGCTGATAACCGAGGGTGCTGGGAAGATCATAGCAGAAGTAGCATCGTGATTATTTCCATTCTAAAACAGTCTCAGTAATGGAGTGCAGGCCGGCAGCGAGTGCTACAGGGGGGTACTGAGCTGAGAGGGGCTGTGGAGCGTGGGGGTGAAACTGAGGGTGTGGGAAGGGAAGAAAAAAGGAGAGGAGAGATAAGGAGAGAAGAAAAGAGAGGTGGAGAGGAGAAAAAAGGGAAGGGGATGGAGAGGAGACCCTCCAGGACCTCCCCAGTTTCCGAGGCAGCCACGTCCGCGTGCTGCCATCGCCCCCTCCCGGAGCGATCCGTGCGTGCAGCAGCGCAGCCCCCGGGCCGGGTTCGGTACCGGCCCGCTTGGAGCCGACGTAACGCTGTGTTGAACGTCGGGCAGCTCTGGGTGCGGGCGGCCTCCCGCACAGCCGGCACATCCCGAGTTTTTATCCATCTTTTGTATCTCTTGATCTCTTCCCTTTGCAGCTGTGCCTGGCGAGCTGCTTTACAATACTCTGTTCAAGATGCTCCTGTACTTCCCAGACCCTTTTAAGTCACTGCATTGTGATTAAGAGCTCTCCTCCTTTGTCACTTTGGGGTTGGGGTCAGAACTGGGGTTACAGTTAGGGTTATGGTTATAATTAGGGTTACGGTTACAGTTAGGTTATTGTTATGGTTGGGGTTATGGTTATCTTTATGGCTAGGGTTTGGGTTACAGTTACGTTATGGTTCTGGGTAAGGTTATGGTTAGGGTTAGGTTACGGTTAGGGTAACAGTTACAGTTAGGGTTAGGTTATGGTTAGGTTACAGTTATGGTTCTGGTTTGCATTGCACTACATTGCAGTTCCAAGGGCGGTCATCCTGACTTAAATAAAAGTGTTTGTTGTATCAAAGGAGATAAGCACAGGGATGAGTAGAAATGCTGGGTCTGAACGACAGCATCCTGGCTCATCTCCCCCCTGGATCCACCTCCCCACACATCCTGTGTCCAGGTGCAGCGATTGCAGCCCTATTGCCCTGTGTTTTTCTATGGGGCAGCCTTGGGGCGAGCAGAGGAGCTGCCCCAGCACTGCACAGAGCTCTCACCTTATCCCTTCTGCTGCTGCTGCTGCTGCTTCCAGGGTTTATTTTTAGTCGGGAGGGCCCCGTTGGCAGCCGGCACAGGGCTGTGCTGCAGTGGATGGGCAGAGGCAGCTGCTGGCTTTGGGGCTGCAGTTCCCTCCATCTTCAGCACCTCCTGCTGTGCTCTGAGTTCTGGGAGGGGATTTCAGCGGGGATCAAAGTACCGGAGGGGAGGGGGAGAAGCGAATGTATGCAAAAAAATATAATGAAAATATTGAATCTGGTTGAATGATGATTTCAGATTGTAACGATTTCGCATTCTGCAGCCTCCACCAGGTGGGGCCTGGGCTGATTCCTCTGCGCTGCCGGGAGGCGGACGGAGCTGCAAAGCCGCGACGTTTCCGATAGTAAACACATCCACAGCGCGCTCCTTCGCGTGCCTTCCTGCCTCCTCTTTGTGTTTGGTCTCGGTCTCCCGGGAGCGGGGAATGCAGCGTGTCTGACAGACGCCAACCCCGCACAACGGAGCAGAAAGCGGCTTCCTCCAGCCCTGAGCAGCAGATCAGCTGGCGCTGCGATTGCAGGACGTAAGAAGATTGCGAGTTTAAATTTAGCACCATCGGGAAAAGAGCGAGCTCTCCTCGCAACGCATTTCGTGCTGCGTTTAGCCGGGGGGGCTCCCACGGACGGAAAGGCAGAGCCCCAAGGATGCTGCTCTCACGGGGCTGCGGCGGTCCCGACCAAGCGGCTCCCCACGGCTTTCCCGCAGCGTTCGGACACGCGTGGAGCGACTCCGCCGTTCCCCCCCCCCCCTCGCAGGCCGGCCCCTCTGCTGGCTCCGCCCGCCGTGATGCGTTCGGGAGGCGTCTCCGCTGCCGCCGCTCCGCGGAGCCGAGCCGGGGCCGGGCCGAACCGAACCGAACCGCGCAACGAGGGTACGGGGCGTGGGGAGGGCGGGGATGGGGGAAGGCGGCCGTGTAATGGAGGTTATGGGGGCCGAAAGGGATGGCGGTGGGGGTGGTGGGAGTTGGGGAGCGCTGGGTGGGCCTCGCCGTGACCCCTCGCTGTGCCCCCCCAGGTTGAAGCGGCGAAGCGAGGAGGGAGGAGATCGATGGGCGGCGAGAGACCCGGAGCGGCGTTTCGGCCTGCAGCGATGGATGCGTGATCTGCGGAACGCCGTCCGTCCGCTTGCAGCACGGTGACGGGGGGACACGCGCCTTGGCCCCATCCGAGGGACACCCCGCAACCCGCCAACACCGCACGCGGAGCTGCTCGGAGGGCACCGGGACACGAAGGCAGTGCCAGCCGAACCGCGCCGCGATGTCGCCGCTGGGTGAGCTGCGGGAAGGCCCCGCGCGTCCCTCCGGCGAGGCCGGGCTGGCCGCAGGGAGCGCTGAGTCCGCGCATCCCCTGCCCTGAGCCGGCCCGGCATCGCCTGCGTCCCTGGGATGCTCAGCTCTGAGCGCAGCGCTACAGCCGAGCCGCTCCGACCCAGCGGGGTGTATTTCGGGAGGAAGTTCTCATCTCTGAAGGTGCCCTTGGACAGATGAGTGAGAAAGTAATGAACGGGCGGGTGCCCCTGCCTGAAAAAGCCTTGTCCGAGGGCTACGCGAGGCTGCGGTACCGGGACACCTCGCTGCTCATCTGGCAGCAGCAGCAGCAGAAGTTGGAGTCGGCCCCCCCCAACACGTATCTGAGCCGCAGCCGCAGCATGTGGTACTCGCAGTACGGCAATGAGGCCATCCTGGTGCGGGACAAGAACAAGCTGGACGTCTCCAGGGACACGGGGCAGTCCAAGTTCTGTGCTATCATGTAATTTTGTGTCAGAAATCTGCACGTGGATGCGAAGCAGGTTTGCACAACCACAGGGCTGCGGCCAAAGCAGCTTAAGGATGGGTCTGAGCGGCAGCCGGAGGTTTCTGTTGATTTGTGCTGTCGGTGGCATCCCATGTTGGGTTGGAAAATTGCTTGGGATGTGAGAGCTGGCACTGCCCACGTGGATGGAGCGCGTTGAGAACTCAGCCTTCAAAACACTTAGCAGGAAAGGTGCGCTGCAGTTTCCCAGCAAAGTGTCCTGTCTGGTGCCAGTTTGGTGCTACAGAAACAAATGACAGGTGGCACTTTTGGAGCCGATGCAGCAGAGCCCCTCTGTAGGAAGAAAGCAGCATGCAGCTCCTGGAGGGTGCTGGCTGGGTGCTGCCTGCAGGAAGAGGTGGGCTGCAGAAGGAAGCAGCCTGCTGAAGGTTGCTCAGCATTTCAGTTTTGTTGCATGTAGTCGCTTGGATGGATTTATGTGCTAATCCTGGTTGGATGACATCTCTCGCTGTAGTAGATTTGGTGTGTACGTACTGTGTTTGGCAGTGTTTGATTCAGCCAATGGAAGGTAAGGTCAGGCTGAGAACCACAGAATCACTGAATGCCCAGGGTTGGAAGGGATCTCAAGGATCACGAATCTCCAACCCCCTGCCACACGCAGGGCCACCAACCTCTCCATTAGACCAGGCTGCCCAGGGCCCCATCCAACCTGATCTTGAGCACCTCTAGGAATGGACAGGGCATCCACAACCACTCTGGGCAGCTGTTCCAGCACCTCACCACTCTTATAGTAAAGAAACCAACCCAGCAAACACCCAAACCTTTCTTAAAAACGAAGCAGCACCGTTTGCAGGGCTGTTAATCGCGTGCCCAGCACTGCAGTGTAACACTGGGCTGAAGGCACAGCCCTACCTAGACACCCCATCCAGCAGTGCTGGGACACGGGTTCAGCTCCAGGCAAACCAGGACCCGGTGTTGACCTCCAGGTGGATCATTTACCTGCCTAAGATCAGGTACTTTGTTGTATTTATCTCAAACCTCTCCCTTTCAAGCACTTTATTTTAACACAGTGAAGAAGAACCTTCTCCCCCCCTCCCTGTGTGTGCTGAATGCTGGAGCACAAAGGCACTGAGCAGCACACACCCTCGTTACCCTGAGACCATACCCAGTGGATGCACTGCAAACCACGGGCAGCTGTTTGTAATGTAACTACTAATGCATGTGTGCGTGTTTGGTGCTGTGTGCGTGTGCTTGTAAAGCTAAACCTGCTGAGATGGACCTCCGTGCTTCACCCACCTGCGTGTCGCTCCGTGCAGACAGTCCTCTCGAGCTCCACGGGACGAGCTGGGAAACGTTCTGATCATGTTTGCTCAACCTGGGAAGCAGAACTCAGCACGTGAGCTGGACTCAGGAAGCTGCTGGGTTGGGCAGAGCAGTGCCTGGGCTGCAGGACGCGGTGGGTGCTCCTAGAAATGGGCTCATGCAGTGCCCAGGGAGCACCGACTGCAGTCTGAAGATGAGGGAGAACAACAGCACGTCCCCACCGCCCGCTGTTCCTTTGCTTTTCTTATAGAAAAAAAACAAAACAAAACACAAAAAAAAACCCACATAGATTTATTTTTTTAATTTCATTAAGAAAGATGATGAGGATCTTGGGTATAATCAGTCCTTTTTTTTGTTCACGTGGCTGGGAACCAAAATTCACCTTGAAGAGTCGAACTACTCAAGAGTGAAACTTGAAGTGCGTGCCTACATTGTTCCAGGATACGACAGCATGGAGAAGTGTGACTTGTCCTCCCCCCCCGTCCCAGGGTGTGAGTGCATTTTCCACAGCCGAGTCCCCATTAGTCACAGTAGCTTCGTGGAGTGGCTGCTATGAAGTGAGCGTTGCTGCAAGCAGTGGTGGTAGATGCACTTGTTGAAAATGCTGCTGTAGCCTCTTGGATAAAGTGCATTAAAATGGTTTGAATGCATCGCTCTGTGCACGCTTCTTGATTCTGCATCTTTAGCACTGTGGCACGCAGAAGCTGCTGTCACTGCCAGTCAGCCCCAGCAAGGCACTGCAGTGCCTGCCCATGGGGAGAAGCTGCTGGGGTGAAGGGGAAGTGCTGGAGATCACTGATGGAAGCAGTGAGCACATAGAGGGTTGTAAAGGCAAGGATGAAAAAGCATTTCCTTTGGAGGAATGACTGTCAGCACAGAGCTGCGCTGATACAACAGCAAAGCAAAACAGGTTTGCTGAAACCTTTGAGATCAGAGCATTTAAAGCCAGTGAGCAGGAACAGGGTTAGAGAAAGATTAACCCTGCTGGCTCCTGGCTGCTGTGACCCCTCTGTATAAATAAGGCACACATCCGAGAAAGCCAACGGAAAAAAACACCTCCAGCAACCAGAATAGCTTTTGGCCACTGCACAGCAATGCCAGGAACTCTGCCCTGAGTGCGAGCACTGCTGCAGCTCCTCCTTCCCCAAATGCACCTCCTGTGACTTGGCTGCACCAGGGGGGAGCTGGTAAGGAAACCCCCTCTGGTTCCTCCAGTTTTTGGGGGCTACAAAACAGCCAGCGTTAAATGTGGGTGATGTTTTCATTCTCTCCTATTGCAGGTCAGCTTCCCTCCATCGGATGCAGCTCTGACACAAACTGAGGAGGGCAAAACGTCATCCATCCCTTGGCTGCATCAAAGCAGCCCAAATCTCTCACCAAAGGAGAGGGGCATTTTGCCCATTGGGTGCTGAGCTGCCATGCAGAGGAGCTGCAGGCCACACTGGCGGCCCAGCATCTCCTGTGCCCTGCAGGCACTTCGCCCGTAAGTGCAGCACCAGCAGTGGGGCTGCAAACTGACATCTCCAGGCTCACAGTGCAGTTTGTTTGTGCTCCTCTGTTAGCAGTGCTGTGCAGCTGATCACTACACCAAACCCTGCTGGCTTTCGGCTGGAGAAATGCAACACGAGGGAAGGCAGAGAGAGAGGAGAGGGGGACAGAGGGTAAGAAACCACACACACAGAGCTGTTTTTCTTTTTATTATGAAAACAAAACAGATGCCCCAGGACCAGGGTCCATTACCAGTAACATCAAAGATTACTTCCTAACTTCTGTCTTTTTAAATTCTGTTGTGTTTGAGGCCAGCAATTTGCAATAAACAAGCTAAACTACTTACACTGACTTCTTTTTTATTTTTCTCTCTCTTCAGTAACTGACATTTACAGGAATATACTAGAAATGGCACTAAAAAGTTTTAAGAAAGAGAGTTACGGTAAGTTTGCATGCACATCATACAGAAAAGTAACAGCTTTTGTTTTTAAATATTATTAAAAAAAAAAAAAAAAGGAAAAAAAAAATACAAACAGCAAAATCATTTTGGATGGGTGATGCCAGTAGCAGGGATGAGCTGCCAGCGGCCTGTGCCGAACCCTAGAGCTGCTGGTTTATTTCTTTCTTTTAAAAACGACCTTTAAAAAGATATGCAAATACCATTTCTTGTTTTAAAAAACGCATCCCGTTGTTTGTTCTTTTTTTTCCACAAGCAGAAAATGCTGCTCGTGTAAGGAACCCTCAGCCCAGGTTTGCCTGCAGTTCAGCCCCAGTGGGAACTGCCCACGTGTTGGAATGTATCTTAAAATCCAGCACGAAAAAGGTGGTGGTTTCTCTTTGCTGTGCCCCAATCCCTTCCCCCAAAGCTCCAACCCCAGCCTTAAAAAAACATCATTCCTTTCAAAGCAAATTCACAACTGGTCTAAGAGCCCCCAAAACGAACTAATGAGGTCACTGCAGTCTGCTTCTACCACACAGCACATGGGAAGAGGCCTCCCTGCTACCTAACCTGCCCCTATACACACACACACGTGCCTGTGGATGTGGGGTGAGCGCGTGCATCTGCTGCAAACAAACAACAGAGCCCCAAACATCAGCTCTGCAGCCACAGACCCTGCAGGTAGGAAAGCTTCAAGGCGCAGCGGGACAAAACTGATGAGGTTTGGTCAGCAGAAAGCTGCTCTACCCAACAGATGTCAGTGGACAAAGCAGGGCTGAGCCCTGGGGTGTTGGTGTGGGCCCACTGAGCCTGCATGTGATGGGCTGCCCAAAAACAGGCTGAGCTGACCATCAGAGAAAGCTCAGCCAGGCTTTAAAGGCGCAGCGATGCTGGTCGATGGCTCTGCTCAACGTAGGAATTTGTCAGCAAAACCAGCTTCACGTGTACCTATGAAATCACACTGATTTCACAGACACCTCCCCTGGAAAACAACGCTGCAAAAATCTCAGCTGTTTTTATTCTGAAGCTTAAAAACGTTATTTCAAATATTCTTTACACATTTGATCACTTCCAAGTGATTTCATGGCATCCTACTGGCACGTCACGCCACACCAACTCAAATAAGTCTTCTATCCTTTCCGTTTCCAACTCAATTTAACAGCTGCTACTTCTTATGGACTGAAAACACCTCTTCTTTCCTGGAGAGGCTCTGATCTGCAGGTACAGAAGCATCACTAATGGCACGCTGGGAGATAACAAGTGCTACAAACAACATGAATCCTAAGAACAACATTTTGCAGTGACCACTTGGTTTTTTCCTGAAACGAAGGTTGTGTCAGAATGGATTTCTCCTGCAAGCTGCCATTTCGTGGGAAACACCTTCACTGCCATGAAAGCTTTCCACTCCGTGGAAGCTGAAGCCACCGCCTGTTGGGTGCTGCCTGCACAGGAGCTGCTTCTGTCCACAGCAACCATCACCTCACATCAATGGTGCAGCTCCAGTCAATGCACATGGGAAAGGATTTCAGCAGGGAGAACCAGGAGCCTGTTTGATCCGTGCTGTCGTGGCACTGAAGTGGTTGCAATTCCTTTAATTAAAATACTGGTTAGTTTTGATAATGCATGTCTTAGGCGAAACGCAGGTGGAAACCAAGCCCATTATAAAAACAAACAACAAAGCTCTTAATTAGGTGTATATTACATCTCCTCATAGTCCATTCTGAAAATATATTACTAAACATCTGTCTAGGGGAAGGTTGTTTTTTGTAAGGGTGGAATGGAAAAAAAAAAATATAGCAACTAAAAATAACTTTATTGTTAATGGAAAAATCATTCATTTCAGTAAGAATCAGAGCACCCTACAGCTCACCTGATCCCAACACGAAGGAAACTCCACCTGCAAAGACTTCCAGGGCTCCAATGGGCCCAGCACCCACTGACAGCACGGCCCAGGGCTGCTCTGAGCAGCAGAGCTTCTTCTGACTCTCAGCTGAAAACGGCAGCTCCTTTCTACAGCTTCAGAGAGCGTGCAATGGTCACTGTGCAGAGACACAGAGCCACGCCAGCTGTGCGACCTGAACGGCATCCAGTGGTAGCAGAGCCTCGTGGGTACAGCCAGCAAGACAGCAGTTGATGGGCACAAAGTGACCGACAGCCACTCACCTACGTGAGAAATAAACACCGGTGCAATCTGCACCACTGGAGACCTCAGCAGGGTGAGCTTTGGGGCTGAGCCACAGCAGAGATGCAGCCACAGGGGCTGGTAGTGGGAGAAGGAAAGGCGTAACTTTCTGTTAAACTCTGTATATTTTCTTTACAATAAAAAGCTAAAAAGTTAAGAATTTACAATAAATTTCTGCCCCTCAGATTACAAACTTTATATAGTTACAGAACTGCTGTTTTCCTA